AAAAGTGGAGGGAGTAGTGCCTACCCCATGGAGCATGATGAAGTTTGATATATAAAAAAAATCTAGCTAATGTTACTTTTCAAATTCCCTTTCCACTAACATAAAGCCTTTAAGTTCTTCAGAAGGCAATAAAGCTGGGTGATTTTTTGTTTTTGTTTTTAAACCCTGGGATCCTGTTATAGAGAACTGGATTTTATACCAGATTTGTGGGTTGAATGTAATGAGTAATTCTTTTGGGTCTCATTTAAAAGGGGCATGCAATAATATTCATTCTAAGAGATTTGGCTGGTTTTTAGAAACTTATATACTGGTATCTTTTAAGTCTCTCACCTGGTTGAGAATATGCAGAGAAAAAGAGCTAAGTTGCTGAGGCTTGAGGTATAAGGGCAGCACCAACTGGTATTTGTTTCATTAAGCTTAGGCAAGCTATCCAATTACTTAATGCAAATAGGAAAAGTTTACATTAAACTCCTGCTTCTTTGCTGAAAACTCTAGAGAATTCAAATGAGGAGAGATATGTATTTAAAAGAAGGAAATTTAAATGAAACTTAAATCAGGGGCTTAATGTAGAATAATATTAGACCAGGAGATCTGAAATAATAAGTGGGAAATGCCAATAAATAAAAGGGGGACTGTATTTGCTCAGATGCTTTCTGTTTAGTTTTGTTTTGGGATAATTCTTAAATCATCAGAGACCAAATTAATAATGAAAGCTCGTTTTGTCCCACACCCTCTTTTCACCCAACAGGGGTGCCTGCATTGCCCTGTGGACCTCACTCCTCTGTCCCTGGAGAGTCTGTGAGGTGACCCTGCCAGCTGGGCTGTCTCGCTGGGGTGGGAGACGAGAAGACAACTGCCTTTCTAGGTGGTCACTGTTGTGTAGCCTAGGGAATGGAGGCCAAGGGGCTAGAGAAGACCCTCCCCAAAGAACTGGGACTGCTTTGTAAAGTAGGGTATAGTTCCTCAAATGACTTAAAATGAGTGAGTGGTGGGGATGGTTTGAGGAAGAGCTCACAGAATTTAAAATAGTACAGTATGGTGCCTTCACTTCTGAAGGTACACCATTTACCTGAAATTCTGTCCTTTGAAATAGTTTGAAATCAAACAGATATTCTTTGCAGAGGTGATTTTCAGCTTCTGTAATGCTTTGAAGGCTATTGCAGAACTGCAACTAAAGAAATTCTTTCTGGGAGTTTCTGGGCCTGTTGTTGTTTCCTGTGCCTAAGTCACGTTTCCCTTTCTCCTGCTCATTCTTGGCCTTCAGACATAGGCCAGATAGCACTTCCATCCATGTAGCATCATAGCAGCCTCATTTACAATGATGAACTTGTCATTTATAATTAAGTTTAATGGTAGGGACTGCCATTCAAACTTTATTCTCAGGATTTGGGACATTGTCTGTCACCCAGTGACTACTGAATGGATAGGGAAATACAACATTTGCTTTTTACCTCCATGCAGTTTTTTGTTATGTAGTAGAAATCTCAGAATCCTAGAAGAAATTAAGTATCCACTGAAAGAAAATTCTAAATTTGTAATTATGTAGCATTTAGAACAAAGGCCTTTATTTATCACTTTCAACAATTTTCATGCAATGAAGAGTAATATGGAGTCTGCAAGTGTTACATGGGAGCCCCAATTATGTAGTTGAACCATTGGACTTACAGACTGAGAAAACCGAGCTTTAATAGATCACCCCACCCAAATGCTGTGGGTCATGAGTATATCCCCTGGGTCCTGTTCTAGCCTCCCTGAGCATACAGACTTGAGTTTCCAAGCACTCATTGTACAACACAGACATTCCTTATGCATTGTAAAGATAAGCAAAAATCACTAAGAAATTTCTTAGGAAAGAAAGGGGATTTTCCTTGTCAGTTTGTACCACTCTGTTTTGAATCTCCAATAGTCAGAGTTAGACATTGATGTTTCCCAGGGTTCGCACCCTTCTCCTGTAGGCCAGTTAGTGTAGCCTGGGTGATACCACATATGTGCTGAATGCAGCGTGTTGGTGGGACCTGTTAGGTTCCAGCTTGTTCACCAGCTGTTTGTTTTATCCCCAAGTCTTTCATCTTTTGTAGCTTTTGATTCATTTTTGTCTGTGATAGGATGTGACAGCCGTTCATTTACTTATGCATACATTAAACAAATGTTTGAGCCATCTACTGAGGGTCAGGCAGCTGGAAGTACTGAGGATATAACTGTCACAAAGACCTGTGAAAAGCATTGCCCCATTGTTAGCCGGCAGGTACGTCTTTGATTCTAGAAGTTCTTGAAGAAAATTTAAAGAATCAAGCAAAAATCCCTCTTGGCACAGGAGGGATGGGAGGGGGAGGGGAGCATGTGCACAGAGGGCACCCAGGTGCTCTTCATAGCACACTGCCATGCTTCCATGTCCTCCCGACTCCCAGGGTTACTGACACTTGTCTCTCTGTTTATGAGCCGCTCAGGACGGCTAGCTGCTGTCTACTCGGATGCTGAGCTCAGCACCCTGGCTTGGACCTGAATCCACAGCTGGCTTGTATGTTTCCTCAAATGTTGAAGACTTTCATGCTAGTGTGCTTGCTTCTTCTCAGTCACTTCCCAGGAGTATGCGGTCCTCTGAGTTCAGCCACTTACATCTCTACTTGTAATTAAACTTGTGGTATATATGACTAAATTCAGCTAGAAAAATATTCATTACTAAAATATTTTAAAACTGTACCAGCAGAATGACAAAATGTAGTTCTATACATTCATGGTCCATATCCATGAATTAGTATCATTTTTGAATATAAATGAACATGCATGTATGTGTGCACATCTGAAATGCCTGATACACTTCTTGGTATGTAGCAGGTGATCCCTAAGTGATAACTATGCTGTTATTTTATTTCAGTTTTCACTTACCATGTAAAATAGGCAACTTTTTAAAAATGTGTAGCAATATTCCCATTAAAGTGCTTTAAATGCATAGTTTTGTAATCTGGCTCGATAGCCTTAGCCGTTATCAGTGTCCTCACGTGGACCACTCCATTTTGATGTTACTTTCCTTTGATATATCTCCAGGATGTATTTGTGTATCGAACTGTGGCTTTCCAACTCCTGCATGCATCAGAATCACCTGGGGCTGGCACATTAAAAGACATTTTGCTGAATCCTCTTCTGTGAGTTTCTGATGCCTAGATGTGAGGTGAAGCTAGGACTTTGCACCCCTGGAACTCCCCAGATGCCCTGCTGCTGTGTGGACGCACTCGAGCACCTGTCTGGGAGGGAGGCAGTGGGACTTGAAATCATTACCCTTTTGTGTCCAGTAGAGTTAGTGGCTGATGCCATGTTGTATGGTTTTTATGAAATATTTTACAGACCCTTGCTTTGCCTTCATGTCATTGTACTTATGGCTTAGAAAGTCTCTTAGGTTTCATAGTGGAGTGAGTATATTTATTTCTGTTGTTCTTTCTTCAAGAACAACTAACTCTACATGTTTACCCTCTAGGGGGAAAGGCATAAGTTTGAAATGTATTTTACAAGATAATTTTATCTGTTATAATTTACTTCTAAGTACTCCAGGCTATCAGGATGGTGTGAGGGTTTGAAACACTGACAAGAATTTCATGTTCTCTACTGCTTTTCAAGGGTCCTTTTGATAGGTTAACACCAAGTAGAATTTAGCACTCATCATTCACACCCAGACAACTTCACTCAGAATGTCACCACATAACAGTTTCACCTCCTTTTAAAGCATAGCGTACATCTTTGGGGATATGATGGTATAGAAGGGTTATTCTTTCAAAAGAGAAAAGGCAATCAGAAATCTTTGTCCATGAGATTACACTGAAATGTTCTTTCATTCATTGCTTCTGAGTGCTTGTCTGTGCAAGGCATTATGGCAAAAATCAGTGCCAAACCAGGGTTGCAGTAGATCGTATCTTAACGTGGACCTAATTGTGTGAGGAGGCTATGGATCACCTTAATGCAGTTGTAGGCTTCATTAATAGAATTGGTAGGATGCAGATCTGGTGTCTGCTACGGCTATCTTGTTTCACTAGACCATGTCTGGGATGTAAGGTGTTAACTGGAATTCAGGGAGGTGGGAGCAGTCGTTCTGCCAGCCAGGAGCCTGCCATTAAAGGCTTTGCTAGTTTTGTGGATGATGATTGTAGGAAGATGGAGTGTTACACTGGGTGGAGAAAATTCTGTGTGTTGCTAGTTAACCTTTGTAGGATTAAGAAACCAGGGAATCTCAACACCTTGTCCACTACAGTGTTCTCTGTGCTTAACGTGGTGCCTGACTCACATTAGTAAATAAGTGGGTCATTTTTAAGAGGAGATGATAATAAACATTCATATATTTGTCAAAAACATGGCTGGATGATTTTGTGCATGCGTACATATGCACGGAGAGCAGAAATGTAGCTCAAGTGTGGTACTTAGGAGTGCTGTCCACGTTGGTGCCTCTCCCTGGGATCTTGGACTTACTGGTGGGCTAGGCTGGCCAGTCAGCAGGTTCCAGGATCCCCTGTCTCTGCTTCCCGAGCACTGGATTACAAGTCAGCAGGTTCCAGGATTCCCTGTCTCTGCTTCCTGAGCACTGGGTTACAAGTGTGCAAAGTGTGGGTGCTGGAGAGGACACGCAAGTCCTCATGCTGTGTGCTGACGAAGCTCTTTACTCACTGAGGTCAATTGGAGGCCCAGTGACTGAACTTTTTGGTGAGACGTTTTCAGTTTTACCTGAGAACTTTGTTAAACTTGGACCCTATTCAGCTGAATCAGTAACTTCTGGTCTTGGAAATCTGTTGTTTTAAATGTGAGGGTCGAGGCTGTATATAGTTTTTGATAGACTATGATTTCAGTGGTTGAAAAATGACTGTATGTTGCTTTATATTCAGTTATTTAATTTAACAGAAAGTAATGTCAGCCAACGAAGTATTTTTCTAACTTGATTTATGAAATAATCTAAAAAATAATTACAATAGTTAAAATAATTAAAATCAAAATATTATTACCTTTACTTGTCTTTTCAGCCTTAATCAAGCCAGGGACCTAGAACGAGAGAGGGCTGCAGCCAATGAGCAGCTGACCAGAGCTATCCTTCGGGAAAGGATATCCAGCGAGGAGGAACGCTCCAAGGCAAAGCATCTGGTGAGTCTCCTCCCCGTGCTAACTAGAGATGCCTTGCCCTCCAGGACAGCCCTGATCGGCAAAGCTAAGCACTTGGTGCCAGCTGATAGTGTTGGTAACAGTAGCCATCCCTTGGCAAGGACTATGGTTGCATATATTTCAAGTGGCTGATTAAGGCTGGCCTCCAGGACACGAAGGAAGCTAACTAGAGGTATTGAAGTCAGGAACGACACAGTCACGTGACCAGGTCCCACCTGGGGACATGCTGCTTATTTATAAGTTTTCCTCCCTTGACCGCATTGTCTTTCTAGCACTGGGGCCAGCAACCTGGCCTCTTTCTTTTCCTGGGCAGCTTCCAGATGCCCAACCGAGCCACCTCCAGGAAGGTGAGTTGAGCTTTTATCAGTCACTCTCTAGCCCTTAGAATGGGGAATGTCAGCAAGAACCTTGGACAATGAACTTTTAAAAGAGAACCAGAAGTTTCTTCAGTAAAATATTTTTTTAATTTTAAAGACTGAATAAGTATTTTTTTCTGAATAAGTACTTTAAAATAAAAGATTAACAGAAAGTTGAAAGTTACTATATATCTTTTGGACCATGGTTTATACAGGCGTGTGTTTCCCTCTGTAATGTTTTTCTTAAGGTCTCTTATTTATCACTTGCAGTTTTCATAAATGCGATTTGTATGTAAATACATTTGTAGATCACAGAACATTTTTCTGAAATGTAGTTTCTCACGATGCATAGTGTGTTCTGTATCCCTACTATTTATTAAACATAGTTTCCACTGTCAGATAAAACTGGGGCTCTTCTGGTTCAAGCCTCTAGCCTGGACTGCTCAGTCTCTACTTCTTCCTAGAAATGCAGATGAAAATATTCAGGGTCCTTGGTACTCACTGGAACACATAGAGAAGGAACACAAGGCCTTACATGGAGGGTTTTGAATGTCACAATTCCTACCCAGCAAGTAACTGAGAACTGCTGAAAGTTGATGAACAGAGGGCCCACCTCTGCATCTCTCCTCTAGTGTCTCTGTTTGTCTGTGTGTCTGTGTGTCTGTCTCTGCTTTGCAGTTTCCCACACAATTGTTAATGTTAGGGTGATTGGCATTTTGTTCTTTCACTTTCTTTTTAAATGACTGGCATTCGTACTTACCCACGGTGAGAGGCTACAGTGTGATAAGTTAGCCCGTGTATATAGTGTGTCTGTATACAGAGTAGCATTTCCTCCCTGGGTTATTTTGGATTTTTTTTTTTTTTTGGCGTGTGCAAAGCTTAGAATTCTCTTCTAGTTCTGTGTGGATAAGTAAATTGCTAGTAGTTGTTAAGTTTTCCCCTCTTTTTTTTTTTTTTTTTTTTTTTTACCTCTTAGCCCTTTCTCTGGTAAGTGAACCCATGACCAGGTGCAAATAGAGACATGAAAAGGGAAGTCAGTTTATAAACCCATTTCTTAGTGACCAGTCTGAGGTCCAGGCTGCTAGGGGAGGGGGCTGACAGTGGAGGTCACAGTCGAGGAGGGAAATGCAGTGGGCTGACTGTGGTCCCCACATGGTACACACTCACTGAGTGGCCCTCAGGAAATGCGAGGGTCAGAGGGGAAGCCAGTAAACTTGTCTCAGGATTAGAAGCAGAGTCCCAAGCAAGCCAGTTTCTGAGTCCATCTGCTGTGTGTCTAAGCAGAAGTGTATTTGGAGTAAGCGGGAAAAATGTCAGTCCAGCCTCGTGAGGGGTCATTTTCATTCACAGTACTCTCACAGTCTGGAGGCTAAGGGTGCTCATATCTCTTGGTTGCACGGCAAGCACCTTACCAATTAGACAGTCTTTGACCTCAATATTCCCTTTTTAAAATTTTAATTCTTTCTGCTTTCTGTTGAGATTATGACATTATTACATTTTGTCTAAGACATTTACATGCGGGCATTTTTCCCAAACAAAACTCTTTATAGTCTTGTAAAAATGTAGAAAATTTGAAGAAGATAAGTGTTAGCTAGGAGCGGTGGCTGAAGTCAGGAAGGTTGTGAGCCAGTGTAGGTCACATTAGAAAGTTCTGTGCTAATACAGGCTACATTCTAAGAGTAAATATTAGGAAATAAAGGAATACCCTAAAATACTGTTGTAAAACTGTCACCTGTTCATATAGGCATGAAGTTCTCTTTGTCTCTCCCACCCATGTACTCTGTATTGGCCATAAGGTTTCAGAGCTTACACCCTGCTACCTTTTGAAACAGAGTCCTGCAGTGGATTCTGTGCCTTCTATTGTTAGGTAGTCCTTTGATTCCCTCTCCTGAGGTGGGCATCCTTAGAACCCATGGTGAAGAATCAGCCTAAGAAGTTCAACATTCTCCTGTGGTGAGTGCTAGGCCTCTGTCACTACTCCTCTGTAGTTGGGAGCCACTGAGTGGAGTGATGGCCATTGTGGTTTGTTTCTTTGTTTTTGGGTCTCTATTTGGAACTCAAGTGTCACAGCTTGTAGGAAAGTGAACACTCTGAGTTTCATGTATTTGAATTACATAGAAAACTTTTGTTCAGTCAGACTGATGTGACAATGTGTATCTTTGAAGCCACGGGTGTTTTATATATTGAATTTTTAAAGAATTTGGTATATTTACACATATATACACACACGTAATATTTATCATCTATCAATCTAATATGTACCCCCCCCCACACACACACAGTCTCTCTGATGATAAGACCCTAGTCTAAAAACATGACATTCATGTTTCAAATACACTGTATACGTGTGAACTAGTGTTAATTTTTAATGCTTTTAGTGGGTCTGTTTAGACTGCTATCTGTCACATAGGTCAGGGGTGGAATTTACCACTAGTGATGTTATGTCTACATATATGAAGACGCCTTGGGCGTACCACCACACCCCAAGTCCAGTTTTGGACTTTGGAGCATTTTGAATCTCGAATATTGAGATATGCGTAGCCTGTGTTGTGAAATAACCCGCTTATGTTCCTCTTGTTTTCTGTTCATTAGTATTTAGCATGTAATCTGTATCTTCTCAGTGTCCGGCTTCCCCTCAGTTGTCTTTGCAGCTGGTTTTGTTGAAGCTCTTTGAAGAGTAGAATTGTGATGGTGACAACTTAAAATAGGCTCCAATTAGAAGTTTCTCCTTTGGAAGACTTGTGATCCACCTCCAACCCCCTCTCCCCCAAGACAGTGTTTCTCTGTGTAGCTTTGTAGACCAGGCTAGCCTGGTACTCACAGAGATCCCCCTGCCTTTTCCTCCTGAGTGCTAGGATTAAAGGCATGAGCCATATCCCCTGGCTTTGAAAACTTTATTTAACTGGGGAAACTCTTAAGCCAGGTCTAGAAAGACTAGATCACTCCTTCTCTGTCCTGCATGACAGGTACCAGAATTTTAATCAGATTTTATCCAGACAGTTGGGAGAGACCACTCACTGGTGACTGTGCCTGCCTGAAATGACAGTGAGATTCCCACTGATGGTATATCCATCCTTCTTAGGAACACTTAGGGGCCCTGTGATGAAAGATGATTAGTAAAGGGTACAACCAAGTCACACACAAGGTTAATGCAGCTTGACATTTTGTTATCTTTAAGATCCTGCATTCATAATCTCATATTTGCTGTGCCATTAGAATTTATTTGAAATTAAAGAATACTAGGCCAGGTTTTAACTTTGCAATTATTTGATTTCTTTCTAAAAATGCCAGTTAAAAATAGTGATTTGGCTTTTTTCTCTGTTATTAAATTATGTTGGTTTAATGGTAGTCATTTCTTATTCACCACGGAGTTGTTCACTATTTTCTTCTTTTAAAAAGATCTGAACTTTGAAGCAAACCTTAATTTACTTGTATAAAAGCATTTACACAGGTCTCCTGGAGCCTCTGCCCCTAAGAGTGACTCACGTCCTTCACCCTTACAACAGAGATTTGTATTGCTTGTTTCCTGTCTGGACATCACTCTGGTAGGTTTTCAGGATGTGTAAGTGAGAAAGATACAGTCCGTCCTGAAGGAAGTCATACTGACTGAAGCAGTCATCAGCGCTAGTTTCCTGTTTCCGTTTATCAGTTTTCCCCTTCAGGGTTCTCTGGTTTTATAAATGTTTATAAATGACAATCAGATGCAGAGCTTGATTTTAACAACGTCTTATATACCTCTCCCTGTAATTTGCTCATTTTTTCTCTCCCTGTGACCCATCTTCTCTCGCCCACTTGCTGGTTGGCATCTCTACAACAAGTAGTCGCCCCTTGCTTTCATGATGCAGGTGTGTGTGTGTGTGTGTGCGTGCGTGCGTGCGTGCGTGTGTGTGTGTGTGTTTGTCTGTCAAATCCAGTTTTTGCATTTGAGAAAAAGTATATTTTGGGAAGACAGATATCAGTGTTTAAAATCAATCTTAGCAATTTTGTGTATCTTATCAATTCATGCCACTTAAAGTTCTGTGAGATTCTGCTTTTGAGGTTGGAGGGATCTTGCCTTCTTTTTACTCACTGCTATATTTGCAATCATTTAACTGCTGCTTAAGTGCCTGTTTATTCCGGGGTACAACAGACAGTAAGAAGTTGATGTTGCTGACTGAATAATTGAATGTGCTAAAACCCCAGAAATAAGAGGAAAGGAAGTGGCTTTTCCGGGGAAGGGAGCCTGAGCTGATCCTAAAGGCTGTTCAGGAGGTGCCTTGAAGGTTGAGGCGTAGGGGCTGCGGTAGAGTCCTGTATTGTAGGCGTGAGCATACACGCATGGGGTGCAGGCCACAGCATTGTAGGCGTGAGCATACACCATGGGGTGCGGGCGACAGCATTGTAGGCGTGAGCATACACGCATGGGGTGCGGGCCACAGCATTGTAGGCGTGAGCATACACCATGGGGTGCAGGCCACAGCATTGTAGGCGTGAGCATACACCATGGGGTGCAGGCCACAGCATTGTAGGCGTGAGCATACACGCATGGGGTGCGGGCCACAGCATTGTAGGCGTGAGCATACACCATGGGGTGCAGGCCACAGCATTGTAGGCGTGAGCATACACCATGGGGTGCGGGCCACAGCA